TACATATTTTTTATCACAATATTTCGCCTGGATAGCCGGCCAACATTGTTCACCAGTGCATTCAAGGGAAAAAGAACCAAGCCATCTGAAAATATATGTGTGAAGGCTTCTTGACTTAAATTCCAAACTGAAAAAAAAAGAAAGAAAGAAAAAGAAAATGTAAAAAAACGTTATTCTGTCCAGAACGGTAACACGAACCAGTATTTTTAAGCTATCTCCAAATCCTGTCTCTACTTTTCAAGGTTTTGTGTCCATAATAGCCCACGCGTTCATCTTTTTTTCCCCTTTTTTTTGGGAGGGGGAGAGGTATTCCCATTTGATAGTTAATATGTACTGTCCACTGATAGTGGGAAATTCCTTTACGTATGTGAGCCTCTCCTACTTTTTTTTTTCTTGATCTTGAAGTGGTGAAAATGTTCAGGTCTGGATTTATGGGTTACTTGGGTGCTGTATTGTGGATAAGTGAGATACGTACACAGTATAGTAAGCCCTGAAATGAAGAGGGGGAGAGAGAGGTAGATGGAGAGAGGGAGAGGGAGTGAGAGAGAGAGAGAGATTTTTGGAGGGGGGGGGGGGGGGGGGAGATGAAAAAAAAACAAGCATTGATGAGAGAGAGAGAGAGAGAAGAGAAGAGGGGGAGGGGAGGGGGGGGGAGATGAAAAAAAAACAAGCATTGATATGATCATTGATCTGGGTACCATTTTAAAAAATTGTATTTTCCTTTGCATTAACAAGTTAGGCTGCAGCAATTATTTGGGAAAAATGTGCCGTGTGTGTGTGTTGTTACATGTCTGGGCATGCATGCATGCATAAATATGCATTAGTGTATATGCTCTGTTTGTGTTTTAAAATATCTATAAGCATTTCCGTTTGTTTCTGGGTGAAGACATGAACTTGGCATGTTTTTGTAAATTTGTGTTTCTTAACTAATGCTGTCCACGTTCATGTTCACAGCAACAAATTTATTGAAGAGCATTTCATTTTTATCTTGGCCAGCAAAATGTTCCTGCACAGGCCATCAGGTCGTGCGGAGCTAGGGGATGTTGTGCCGGGAGTCTCCATCATCAAGCCTCTCATGGGTGTGGACCCTCTCCTGGAGTACAACTTGGAGAGTCATTTCAAACTCACCTATCCAAAGGTTTGTTTGTAATAAGAATGCAAGTCAAATTAGTTTACTGTAATGCTATTTTGTCCGGTTTGACGGCCGAAAAACCATAAAAGTTACAAGTACTCCAAAAGCAAGCAGCAAAATTGATAATGAAACAAAAGAAATCAGTGCATGTGACGCCAATTCTGAAAGAACTAAACTACACTGGCTGTCAATAAAAGAAAGGATCAATTACAAAACTGCTGTTTTCTGTTTTAAATGTATACGAGACCTTTTAAACATTTCTGGACTTATATCATCCACCTAGAACTATATCATCCACCTAGAGCCCTAAGGTCAGCCCCTGATAATCTAATTCTTAAAACTCCAACAAAACAAAATTACAAAACATTCGGCGAGCGTTCCTTTTTGTTCTTTGGTCCCCAGGTATGGCACAAACTCCCATATAAAATAAGATCTGCCCCAACAAATTACATTTTCAAAAAACACCTGAAGAATTTTTTTTTCACAAGTGCATACCTGTCATAATGATGAAGTGTTATATATGCATGTGTATGCCAGTCTGTGAGACTAAGAGAAGGAGAGAGAGAGAGAGAGAAGGGGGGGGGAGGGAGAGGAAGAGAGAGAGAGAGAGGGGGGGAGAAAGAGGGAGAGAGAGAGAGAGAGAGAGAGAGAGAGAGAGAGAGAGAGAGAACGGAAATGTTCTTCTATCTGTAGAGAACGAATGTTTTAATGAATGTTTCTAGTTACTCACGTTTCAATTTTATTGTGACCGTTCGTGGTTTTTTATTGCATTAGTGAACACATTTCCAACTTCACTTCAAGACTGTTTTTCTCATGAAAAGTTTTACTCATATACATAGATATTACATGTATATATATGTATAATACAATTTTTAAGATGTGATGTCTTTTTCGACTTAATGGGCATTGAGCATTTTTTAGAAAATGAAAATGGGCAGTAAAAATGCTATTTATTATTATTATTAAAATTTAGCACCCCATTTCGAACTGCTTGGCCTAGTGTTCAACATCCCAGGTCACTATGGGGTTGTAGCCAAGTCTTATGGGACCTTGACTTTTGATCATCATGTGTGAAGATATGAGGAGGGGGGTGTAGACTTTACTTTTACAGCAACAAGTCACTAATGTTGAATTCTATAAAGTTCTTGTTTCAGCGTAGAAGGGTTATGGTAACAAGTCTTATCCTGGTTTTTGTAGCATGAAATACGACAGATTATGTTTGATTGTCTCTTGAAAAGGACACTACTTTTGTTAAGCCCCCCCCCCCCAGCAGATGGTTGTACTTTACTAAGTCTTGGATTTTGTGAAGAACTGTAGTTTGTCTCAAAAGTTTGAATCATTTCATGTCCTATAAAGTACATGTAGTGACGAGTTGCAGAAGCAAAGTCTCTGTCCTCTTTTTAAAAAATCTGTTTGTTTCTTGTAACAGTATGGTTGAAGGCGGGGAAGCTGTTACTTTTGATCATTGGTAATTATTAATAAACCATAAGTGATGCTGTTTGAGTATTTTTGCACCCTGTAGAATGTTGGAGAGTAAATGAACACAAATTTGATTGTTGGAATTCAAATCTTTTTTTTCTTTTTTTCTCATGTGGTTTTGCACTCAATATTCAATTTGCCCTTTAATTGTTTTTGAAAGTTTTAATTCTTTATGCTTGACATTCAAACAGGAGACAAAAATTGAATGGAAAACAAAATAGTGCTATTGTTGTATGTTACACTCACAAAGTTTCTCTCTCAGGTGTTAGGAATAAACTTCCTTTTTCTAAAATGTGTTTGCCTTTTTCAAATACTTTTGTTTTCTATCTGTTTCTATTATTATATTTTTGTTGTTGTCATATGGTCTCATATTCTTTTTCTTTTTTCTTTGCACAGTTTGAGTTGCTGTTTTGCTTTCATGATGATCAAGATCTGGCTATCCCAGTGGTGTACAAGCTGCATGAGCAATACCCTCATGTGGATGTCAAATTATTCATAGGTGTGTGCCTGTAGACTATTGTAGTAACTTGGTAACAGCTTGAACACCATGAGTTACGCTGATTCACAATAGTCTCAGCAGACTTTTTTCTGGAGTGGCTGATGATGAACCCCCCACCCCTATCCAAATCCCCTAAATCCCAAACATCATTCTTCTCAGCATTTTTCCGTGATGAGACATTTTAGCTTTTGTTAGTGAGAGTTTAATATATGGAAGCAGGGATTTTATATAAAAAAGCACTAGTATCTTTTTATTGTGTGTGCTTTCTTTTTTTGCTGAGGTGTGCAGATGAGATGAAAAATGAGATGGTAAGCGCCTGCTCTTGTTTTTGCCTTTTAGATTTGTTTCAAATGACTAACTCACCTTTGTAAAGTGTTTGCACTTTGAAACGGGCAGCCTATCAGAGTGCAATCTGACAGATTGTCTGTGTGCTGTCTGTCCTGGGTTTCAAAAAGCTTACAAGGAAATGAAATGTTGAGCTTGTTAAAGTCCTTTGCCGTCTGAGGTCTTTCATCATTACTCAAAATGTGTTGCATAGCTCAATGAATTGCAGAATAATAGGCTTGTTTGCATAGGTATTTTTACTTGTTTTATCCTAATACGTATGTGCGTATGGAAACTTTAAGTTATGAACTCTGTCTCTCTTCTACATCATTTCGTAAAAACTGTGAATGTGTTTTTTGGTTTAAAATGAAATGCTCCAATTTTCATAGATTATCTATTAATATGAGTGGGTTTAATGCAGATGTTAAGGATTACTCTTTAACCTTTGTATAGAGGCAAATAAATGTCCTACAATCTATGTTATCAATTTTCCCTGGATCATTTCAATGAATATTGTTCGATGTGTTGAATAGAATTTGTGGCAGAAGTATCAGAAAAAGAGACCCCATGTGATAGGTGTATGCATTGTTAAGCTCTTCTGTGTCAGCGTTCTGAGTTGTAGACTCCATTCACAGTTGAATGGTCTTTTGATTTTACCTCCATTTATTCTGTTTATAAGAGTGTCATGTTGTCAGTCCCATGCCAGCAAAATAGGTGTGAGAGAAATATTATCTAAAATTCATTCCATTTTAAAGGGGTGACTAAATGTGGGTATGCATGCGTTCATGTGTATTTGTGTGTGTCATTTTGCCTGTATACATAGGAATGTAGGACCTCAGAGCCTAGGACAGAGAATATATTACTTTTGTACTTTCTCATGTTCTTTTTGAAATGTCTGGCAAAATTTAGAAAGAATGTTTCAGATGGTGAATTTTTACTTACAAATATTATTGATACTTCCCAAAATCTGAGTTATCCCCTTTTGAATCATGCAGGAGGCAACAGAACTATTGTCAACCCCATGGTACAGAATATGGCACCAGCTTATGACGGAGCTCAGTATGAATATGTCTGGATCAGTTCCAGTCGAGTTGAAGGTATTTCATCTCTTCTTCTAATTTGGAAAATTCCACATAGATACAAACTCTGTCATTTCTCATCTACGCTATCATCTTTCTTTTTTTCTTTGCGTATCAATGTGTTGATATCACTTTCAATCACTTTCTCTGTCAGCCCATTACCTTTTTCTCCATTTATTAGAGGGTTCTTCTTTGGTTCTTCCTCTTCATGCTGTTCAGGATAATGTAAGTTATGTCTCAAAATTTTACAAATTTCTTAGTCTCATGACTATTTCAACTTGAACGTCAAACTTATCAGTGTTTTGGAGTTTGGACCCAGCATTTTATTTTTTAAATTCTTGTTGTGAAATTGGACTCAACAGGACCGTTAGTATCTTTATAATGAAGTCACATTTTTGTTTGTTGTTTCCACTTCCGAGTCTTCATTTGAACCGAAAATGCTGACAATTATTTCTTGCTCAAAGATGCACTATGTTATGTCATGGAAGATGTTAGGGATGCACAGATGAAAAGACTGTAGGCCTTCTCTCTCTTATATGTAATACTGTATAATGCGTTACACTAAGTAACTTGAGTTTTCTTTTCCTGATCACAGCATCTGATGAAATCATCTATGATCTGGCCAGCAAATTGCAAAAGTCAAATGTGTCTCTGGTACATCAGATACCTTTTACAACAGACAGTCCAGGATTTGGATCATTTGTAGAAAAGGTATGCACACAATATTGTTTCTTCCCACCATTGTCATAATCCTTCTCCTCCTCCTCCTCCTTAGCATCATCATTTTCATTGTCACCATCATCATTATCACCATCACCACCATCATCATCATCATCTTCATCATCATCATCATCATCATCATCATCATCATCATCATCATCATCATCATCATCATCATCATCATCATCATCATCATCATCATCATCATCATCTTTT